GCTGCCACTGTAACCCTTAAACCACTGAACCACATCATCCAGCGCCACATCCAGGCGCCTCCTAAACACCTCCAGGGATGGTGACTCCACCACCTCCCTGGGCAACCATTCCAATGCTTGATCATCCTAACAGTGATATTTTTTTTCCTAATAACTAATCTGAATCTGCCGTCTCAGTTTAAAGCCATTTCCTCTCATCATCTCACTGCAGGCACGGTAGAAGAGACCGGCCCCTCACCACAATCTCCTGTCAGGTGGTTGTAGAGAGCGATGAGGCTCCTGCACCCTCAGGCCCCGTGGAGCTGGGTTAGGGCTCCATGGAGCCCCACGCCACAGCCCCGGCCTTGCTCCCCCCTTCCCCAGGGCTTCTCCTCCTCTCCCTCTCCTCTCCAGTCGGTGGAGAAGGGCAGGTGTGCCCCGAAAACACTGGGGAAGTGGCTCCAGGCTCCCTGACCTTGGCTATGGAGCTGGCCCCAGCAGCAGCCCAGGACAGCGGCTTGGCCAGCACGTCTGCTGGCAGTCTGCAGGTCTCCAGGGAGAAAAGCCAGCCTGCCAGCTCTTAGCAGTGCTGGACGGTGACCTAAAGGCACTGGCAAGTGCTTGTCTGAAGCAAATCCCTCTGTGAGCCACTACTACCCCTTTTTGGCACTGAAATGCCATGTTGGCACTTGAGGCTAAGGAGGCCTTTCCAGAAAAACAAGGCACGTAAAAGATTAGTCTTGAACTACTATAGGGGTTCAAAGGAAAGTATTAAAAATAACAAGAACAGGAGTGCTGGAAACACTGCCTCAGGGAGTATGTGCAGGTAAACAAAAGTTGCAAAATCTGTAATACTGGATTCTATAAATACTGACGAGACATACTTCTGAATGTATTGTGAAGTCAGCACAATCCTGACTAGGGGCAACGTGCTATTTTTTTGGTTCACTTGAAGTTCACACTTTACAAAATTAGGATTGGATAACTCAGGAATGTACTACAGAGGTTTCACCTTCAGGAACGTGAGCCAGGTCAGTCCAGGGCAGCAATGACAGAAAGAGCAGTGCTGCCAGGGGGGCCAGCTCAGGTTAGCTGGGTGGTGGTTTCAGCCAGTCCTGTTTGACAAAGATTTTTATTAGGTTTCATAGGTCAAAGAGTAAATTGCAAAAGTAACCTAATTATACTTGCTGCTGGATACAGTCCTCCTAGATCAACATTTAGACATGCTAGTGAGCAAACACACACCAGTTTGCAAACCTGACTAGCATATTTCCTTCAAATAGTTGGATAGACTTTAATATGAAATGTTAGTGCAGTTTGGCTCTGAAAATTTGAACCATTTATAAAGCCAAGAGTCTTTGACATAGTTCCTCTCTGTGTTCAGGAACAATGCTTCCTTCTTTGCTGATGTTAAAGAATGTTTTATTGCAGGGAGCAGTATAGAAACATGGCAGTAAAAGAGGAAGCTGAGTTCTACTGCCAGCTGGCCATTATTTAAAGAATTCCCAATTCAGTGCCAGTGATCAAAACCTTTCAGATTCTGGGCTCAGTTTGTAGGACAAAATAGAATCCTGAAAGCCACTAAATTTTATCTAGAAATCAGAAACAATAATCATAAAGCTGTAGGAAGCAGATTTTATAAAGTCCTTTTCCAGAGCACAACTTGCTTATCTCCTGTTGCAGTATGACACCTCATTTTCAGTCCCATACCCAAAGCACTATAACATTATGCCTAAAAAATGGCCATTTTTCTGGCCAAAAAATGCTGTTGATCACTATCAGAATGATTTTTTAAAATTATTTTTAGGATTTACTAGGTTTTTAACATCTATTTAAATGTATCTACTGCATTAAGGCCCTGTTCTCTGTCTCTAGCTGTGTTGGAAGAAACTCTAAAACTTCTTAGATAATTTACTTATCAAATGAGGAAATCATACTTGACTGTCATCTCAAGGATAGGTTCCTGCTCAATACTACAGCCAGGAAACTTCACAGAAAGATAGAACTTATCTGTGAAGAACTTCAGGTTCTCAGCAACTGTATCTTCCCAGCATAGTACAAGATTTTCCATCTATATATTTTTGTATCATATTGCATTGTTTCTTGATGTTGGATGTCTACTTAAGCTGAAATACATAAAAAAGATGTGAAAATCTGAAATGCTTAAAAACTATAATTAAATTTGTCAACTAGCTATACATGTCTTCTTCACTTACAGTAATGCCAGTCATGCTTGAATTACCTAAGCAAATTTAATCAAAATGTCAAAGATCTACCAAAACTCAGTTAAAAAAAGAAAATAAATCACCAAGTGAGATGACAAAATGTAATTTGCTCTTCAAAAGATAAATTTCCAATATGCCTTGGAGGTTCTACTTAATTGTTTTCTGTAAATCACTGCATTTTGCTTTTCTTTGCCAAGAACTATCAGAATCCCAGCCATGGGTGACCAGTTTCTTGGGCCAAGAAAAAAATCAATGACCATTTAATGCTTTCTATTGTTGATACTTTATATGTCCAAATCCTTTTCTTCCAGCAGGCATAGGAGCAAAATTGTACAGATGGCAGTTTTTTGTTGCAGGCAACCCAAGGATGACATCAGTGCACTGAAGCAGTGGTTTGGCTCTGCATGTCTGAAAACTTTGGTACCAAATTCAGTTCCTGATGCTTAATGCCTCTTTCTTGCTTAAAAACCCTTTGGTAACGTGGTTTCCCCCATATCACACTGTAGGACCAGTGCTGTGGCCACTCACTCCTCCCTAGCCAGGAGCTTGTAAAGATGAATTTCCTGCAGGCCTGGTTCATGTGGTGGTGTTCCATGTGATGCTCTGCACAGAGTGTTTGTAGTTCTGGGTTTGCTGACTGTAAGCTGGGACTCTTGTTCAGAGCACTCACGTCAGTAACCAATAGCAACCAAGCCACTGGTATCCTTTGACATTACACCGTAGTTACCAGATGCTATACTTAGTACACTAAAAAAAGGCACTTGCAAATCTGTCAAAAATCATAACAACTCTATCCCTTATTTTCCCAGGATGTAGTTAAAGCAGGATCTTTAAATCTGACTGGCATCCCACAGACTGTTCTCGAGCCGACCAGTACTTTAAAACCACGTACAGTACTCAATGCACCACTGCCACCATGAAAACTCCATGTCAGAGTGCGTGGATCCTCCATAAATCCATCCCGCTGAGGTTTGGTGTGGACAGAGCTTTAGGAGTGCTGCAAAAGGCCGATTTGCAGCAGCCGGTCCTTTGCGGCGGCGCTGTGCCGGGCCGGGCAGAGCGGCGGCGGCCGTGCAGCATGCTGGATCCGGAGGGCAGTGTGGAGCATCAGCCTTCCCCTTCCTTCCCCAAACTCCTGCTCATCCCTCTAGCCATGCTCCTCGCAATTGCAGCGCTCCTGCTCTTAGCCTTTTCCGCCACGCGGCAGAAAGAGCCTGATTTTTACACTTTCAAAGTTGTAAACATCAGGGGCAAGTTAGTCTCCCTGGAGAAGTACAGGGGCTCGGTAAGTCCCGCGGTGCTGGGCTCTGGCCCAGGCTCACTAACAGCCAGTCCTTGCATGTCTGCGGGGCGAGAGGGGGGGAGAGAGCACAGAAACTTGGGGCGCAGTCTCGTGTAGGTCTGGGTTTATCACTCTCTATCTCACCACTCTCTAACTGATGGGCAGCGCTGCCTGCATGCTGCCTGGGTGCCGCTCCCCACATCTCTGCACTCCTGTTTAGCCATGATATCTAGTTAATACAGGCTCGTTCTGAATAAATGTTTGCAGTCTAACCCCTGTGTGTGTCTGCGTCTTCTCCCGGGCCAGGCGGCTGCTGCCTGTAGACGTGGCAGGCAGGGAACGCTCCCCGCCTGCCGTTCCTGCAGCAGGATGGATTGCACTGGATCGTGGCTGTTCACTTGGAAGCTCAGGAAGTTTGTGTCTTTGTGTAACTTACTTTTGGAGCTTATTTCTGCCTTTTAACTGCATGACTTCTTGTATATTATTTTTACTTAAATCCCATTCTTTTTTTAATGTTCTACATTAAAAAAAAAGGATTTAGTCAGTGGCTAATGGAGTAAACAGATTTCACCGTAGTAAGTGAAAACGTGAGAGACATTATAAAGTAGTTATTGTAATATCAGAGTATAATGGAATTGTAACATCATGCTATTCCTCTTTCGCTTTTTAGTGCGTGAAGAAGGGCACATGGACACACATATATTTTATGATGTCTTTTAAATTTTATTTACATATTACTTTTAAGGAGTTTTAGGCAGCGCTTTCCATGCCATTTTAAAACAGTGTCCTTGACTATACTGTGATTTTAGTTTAGTTTAGTTTAGTTTTTTAGTGGTTTGATCATCTAGAAAAGATGGTCAGTACCTATGAAAGAGTGATAAGGGAATTTAGCACACTGAAGGCTTAATACTGTAAGCTCTTATGGCCCCACTCACAAGTTACAGAAGCTAAAATCAACATAAATCCCACAAGTGCCCCCTTTAGCACTCAAGTGACACATCTGTGACACTTGCAGGCAGTCCAACAGCTTACCTGCTGCTCAGAAAGGCATGACTTCTTCTCACTTTCGCCCTTAATCTCCAGTATTGTGTTTTCACCTTCCTTTTCCCCTCCTGAGGTGCTTCACTGAGGTGTCTGAGCTCACTAGTGCACAGCAGCAGGTCACTGAAACATTGGCAGATAGACAGAGAAGGCGTATGGGGAGATGCACATTTTCCTGAGCTCAGCAGAAAGGGACACTGGTGGAGTTGGAACAAATGCCAGGACTGAATCTTACCTGGTCAAAGTTCTCATCTCCCTCCATGCACAATTCAGATACAGCAGAACTGGTCCCATGCCCACTCCAATATCTCTAGTGGAAAAAAACATGGAAGCTGTTTAATATTGAGCAATATTTGTGCTTTTTTTAATGAGTTCCTTCCAAAGGCTCTGTCAATAAATCCTGCTACTGGGGCATGTTTTGTCTGCAGGTCATTGCAAATCTGAATAAGCAAGTACCACCTGTAGCTCCTCTACCTCAGGGCCAGAATCCACATAGAAAGGAGTTAAGGGGGAACTCAGAATTCCTTACAGCTACCCCACAGAGAGCTGTGGGTGTTCATCCCCCCTGGAACAAGCTGCAGAGCCTGATTTGGAATCTTATGAACAGGAAGTTGGGGGGGGGTGTGCCTGTATCCAAGTGCTATGATTCCAGGCCATCCTTGAGGCCTGACTGGTTTCATAAGGAAGAGTTCTAGATCTGTACCTTGGAAGAGGGAACAGCATTGATGAATGGTATTCCTTGATCTCTGCTAGGCCACACGGAATAGTTGATTCCAAAAAGGTGATGACCAGCTTCTGTGTGGATAAAAAGATTTGCATTCAGAAATCCTATTGATGTTCAGGCCAATTGCTCTTTGATAATGCATGTGCACCATTTTAAAGAAAATTGCAGCAATAAAACACATCCCTTTCTGTCATTATGTTGTCAGAACTCAGTATCAAGATAGAAAAAGGTTAATTAATACTCCCATTTATTTCTTAAAATAAACTTGCTTAAATCTGCAGTCAAATAAGTAGTGTTAAGGCGTAGGTTTATCATAATATTTTAAAGCTATTAAAAGAAAATAATATTAAAGTACTACGTGTGTGCTGGTGGTGTTCTAAAGAAAGTGAGTCACTAGTTACCTCCTGGAACAATCGTCTGCTAATTGCCAAACCAGCTTTTAACAGCCTTAAGCTTTCTGGCAGATGTAGAGAAGACATTTTCTTCAGTTCAGTCACTCAACTAATTTATTTAAATAGCTACCTAATTAATAGCTACCTAGTCTGGAAGCTTTTGGATTTTTTCAATTCCCTGTTAGTTTCTTGACTACAAAAAAAAAAGTGTGCTAATTCTAAAAACACAAAAGCCGTGCTAAGTATAAACAATCAATGATATTCATGACTTGCAGAATCTTTCTTCAATAACTCATTATTGATATAAATTTTTGTGCATTCAGATCACTGAAACAATTTTTTCCTAGTACTGATTGATACTATATCAATTTCTGTTTGAGTTCATCTTAATAAAAAATACCCTCTGTTATATAGTACAGAAGAAATAGCTAACAATTATGCAATAACAAAAATTAAAAATATCAGGGAAGAGTTTGTTGTTTTTTTCTGAAATAAATGTGCACAGACATAATCTCCACTTTAATAAAAATACTGAAAATATATAAGGGAGTACTCCCTTTCTATGGGGGTATTATATTGCCAGAAGGCTAAAAATTTGGCATACGTGCTACAAAATCAGGTATTGTGTGACATGTACCTGGAAGCAAAGACAGGGATGACTATAACAACTGAGAAAAGAGTATCATGAGTGGAATAGACCCCAAAGCTGTCTGGTTTACTGTGTTATGGGAGAAGGCCATGGTTTTTCCAGGCTTCCATACTGATGTTGACCCCTCTACATTAAATATGAGGGGCAGTGATATGTGGCTGGACAAGAATCAAGAGGATCCAGACAAGCTCAGTTTTCTATCTAATCTATCTCCCTACCTAATTCAAGATCTTATCTTTCATTTTATGATCTGAATCAGATATGCTGTAAGATATATTCTTACCAAAAATAGCACCTATTTGGGAGTCTGAACTCCCAAGCATCAACTGTTCCCTGCTGTTTTTATACCTGTCTTTGATATAATAGTCCCAAGCTACCACAGAGCTGAGTACAGTGTGCTGGGGTGGAATTAAGCAGCGTCAGTGCAGTGCCTTTGGAAATCCTGAACCAAAGGTACTATAATCACGTAAAAGCATTAGGCACTATAACTACCTAAGTATTATTTTACTATTGGAAGTAATGCCAGGCACTTTGGATCAGAGCTCCCTGCAGTCTGAGTGTGTGTATTACTGAGTGTGGGTAAATGCAGAGAACAGCATTTAATTACTGCACAAATACTGCTCTTTTTTCCGTGGAGGTAACAGCTCTGTGAGTTGGTGTAAGCTGACTCCTATGGCTCAGATGGAGCCAGTTAAGAATCTCTAGGTCTAAAAACCCTGCTGAAAGATCCACAAAGGGTTAGTTGAAGATGAGACCAGACTCATAAATCTGTTCAGGGACCATTCCCTCGAGGAGGCATGTTGGTGTAAACATTAAGTAAACCATGAAATGTTTTTGCAGTGTTAAATAAATGATTTCACTACTAGAATGCCTGGGTTTTCTAAGCAAAGGGAAGGACAGGATAGTGTTAACAGGTCAGACAAGAGCTAATAGAGAATTCAGCTTAAATGAAATGATTTTTGTGAGGTCCATGATGAACTGTTTGCACTGCACACTAGGTGGTGTGCTTGACCTGCACTCTCAAGAGCCCAAAGTCAAGCATATTGGACTTAATTTAAAGCATTAATAGTTGTAAGAAGTCAAAGTACAGCCTCTACATGAGAACTGTATTTATTAAAAATAAAATATAGACCAAAAAAAATCATCGCATTTAATCACGTCTAGTACCAGACACTTGAAAGACAACTTGGTAAAGGTTTTTAAAGAATAATTTTAAATGTTCCTTATGAAATACCAATAAATCCTGAAAGTTTTGATTATATGTGTTAGTTACACTTTTAGGAGTTTTGCACTACTAAATTATGGAGTTCAGTAGTGGAGAATTCAGTTACAGGGAAGGCATTTTTCTAAGGAAAAAGAAGCATAATATGTTTGCTATACAAAAAAAATGCTGTGTGTAGTTTCCTTCTATTTTGTGGGAAGTTGTCTGGAAATTTGCTCTTTTTGCACCGTGAGCTCTCAAGCCTTTCACCACCATGCCAAATAATCACTGATTTTAAACAGCTGTAAATTAAAATGGATTCTTTTTGAGTGAATTCTTTCAAGCCCTCTTTTTGCTTAAAATCAAGCAGAAGTTATAAAAGCTTGATTGTTTTCATCTTTCATACCTGTTTTAATATGAACACAATGCCTACACAAGCTTATTCCCCCAAACCTCCAATGATAAATTCATACATTTCCATGCTATTTTTGGATAAAGTACCAATAGAAGTGAATACAATAAGGTATATGAATACTCCTGCATCATGAAAATGCCAAGCCTTAAACTATATTTTAAAAAGCTTCTAAAATTTCATATGAAAGAGCTTCATGTGACTTCAACTCTTAGTGGTACAATTTATCTTTACTTCATACTAAACTGCGAATATCACTATGCTTGGTAAATCAGATTATTTGAAAGGAACAGAACTGCCAATAGTTATTTTTTATGGCCAGTATATAAGTTCTGTTTGAAATGCTGACAGTTTGCAACAGGAATTCATCATAAAATTATTATATCTTCTCTCAAAAAAATCTACTTATGCGCCACATCTTTGAGTGTTTTAGGAAACTGAATTTAAAACTTCAGGCAGAGCTTTTAAATGCCTGAATGAAAGTGATGCTTTGGAGGTTGGCTGGGTGGCTGCAGGTCATAGTTCATATGCAAGTGTCCAGGGAGTGCTTGGATTGTGTTCTGTTGACACTACACCACAAAGATTACACCAACTTGTGTTTTGTGAGATTACCTGTCTTCCAGGGAGAACAGTGCCATCCCAAAAACACTTTAAATTCAGGAGTTGGACCTGGTGAGTCCCTTCCAACTCAGGATATTCTATGATTCTCTATAGCAATATATCTATACAAGGTAGAATACATAAAGTGTTAATATTTAATGTAAGAAATTATAAACACCAACATCCCATTATCTTTTTCTTTACTCACTCCTACCCCTTCTAGGCCTTTCATTTTATGATCCCATACCTTACCCAGCTAAAGGCTTTTATAAGCCAGTTTGTTTTCTGGCCTTAAAATTCCTATGTACATGTAGTTATTTATTTTTTGTATACTATAATTTCTTTGACATGCCTTATTTCCCTAAATACTTTTATATTTTGTATGAAAGTATTAGAATGGACTCAATTTATGTAGAATGAGCAGCAACTCACACCTACAAAATTTGTGAGAGTAATAAGAACTATGTCTAATAATAAATCCCAAAAGTTATTTAAGGATAAAATATCTCAAAAACCAATGGAAAATTCCTCAAAGCTTTGAGAAACTGTAATATGTGTCAGTTCAGGGTGAGGTCACTAATTTTCTCCAACAAATTCTTGGTGGACCCTGTTCCACACGTGCCTTTATTTTCCTGTGGTGCACACCTGTGTGTGACACCTTCCTCCAGCTGGATCTGCCTGTTGGTAATATCTGAATGACACCATGTGCACAGGTTGGACATGATCCACCACAGGAAAGATCTTAAAGGACAGTGGGCAGTCCTCACTTCTTGGAATCTCTAATTGAGGCAGTAAATTTTTGTGAAAAAAACCTATTGTCATTTTGTCTCAACTGAGTAGATTTACTCTAGAAATGGTGGAAGATTTTGTAGCCCATTCTGCACAGACCAACCCAAAATCCTGTAATTGCTTCTATTAACTTCCAGGTCAAGACAAGCAATGATAAATGGATCAGCCAGATCTGTATGGGTACTAAATTCTGCACAGGGAAAGATGATGCAGAGCAGATGTTTCACAACAGATAAATAAAAAACACAAAATACATTAGTTTGCAAGTTTCTTTCATGCAACTTGGTCTATCATAGCTGAATGGACACTTCTTGAATATGCTTAGAAACTGTCCAAAGGGCAGAATGGAGAAATATAGATTCTCTGAAAACTGAAAATTAAGATTGCTTAGAAGTTTATTGATTATTTTCATCATTGCCAAATAGGGATACATAAAAGAAATATTAAATGTTCCTATTGTGAACAGAACTCGATGTAGTTTCAAATATGTATTCAGTCACAGTTCTCTAGACATTCTTTCTTTTTTTAAATAATCTGCATCCCAGCCTACCTGTTGGAAAGCTGACATGTCTAACACATTTTTCAATCTCTCTTCAGGTGTCACTGGTTGTCAACGTTGCAAGTGAGTGTGGGTACACAGACAGCCACTACAAGGCCTTACAGCAGCTGCAGAGGGACCTGGGCCCCTACCATTTCAATGTGCTGGCCTTCCCCTGCAACCAGTTTGGGCACCAAGAACCAGACACCAACAGAGAAATCGAGAGTTTTGCGCGAAAGACTTACGGTGCCTCCTTTCCCATGTTCAGCAAAATCACAGTCAGCGGGGCTGGAGCAATTCCTGCCTTCAAGTACTTAATTGGTGAGTAATCCGGAACACTGGAGGGTTGTTTCTCCAGTGTAGAATTCCTCTGATACAAAATAACATCTGACAGAAAAAAGATCCCTATGATTGTGTTCACAGAGTTGGCAGGCTCAAGGAGGTCAGAAGTCACGTAGCCCTTCTCGCACAAGGCAGGATTTCTCTCTCTGTCACCTCTGACAGCTTTGTCTTACCTTCTAAAAAGATCTCCAGAGGTGAGGACACATCAGTAACAGTCGTCCTGTAAAAGCTCATCCAATAAACCTCTACATAGGATATAGATTTTGAAATATTCCCCTGTATACATCCAACACCTGACCTTCTGTTTTCCACTTTGCAGCCTCGTAAGTGCTCCTCATGTGGCAGGAGTGCTGCAGGCTGGATTTGTAAGATTAATCTCAAGAGCTGTAGCATAAGTGGAAGCAAAGCACCTCATAATTTACTTCAACAATCAGAAAGTGAAACTGG